TTATTAAATAACTATTCATTATAGTATTCATTGATTCATTCTTTAGCATGACTAATTATTTTTATTTTAATAGACTATTTGTTGTGATTAAAGCCTAAGTCAAACTAAGTGGGAGAAGGGAAGTAATTTTAAAATATGAGGGCAGTTTGAAAAGTGTCTAGCTACATACTATGAAAGATAATATTATCAATGGCTTGATACTTTCCAGGCAGACCTTGTATTTCCCTTACTTAAAAAATAAGACACTTAACCCTGATCTCAAAAGAAGACAAGGATAATACATGAAAGGAAACTATTAACCAATATCTACAATTAATATTGATGTAAACATCCTCCAAAAAATACTGGAAAATAGAATTCAATAGCATATTTAAAGAATAAAACACCATGACCTAGTGGGATTTATTTCTGAAATCCCACAACATTAGGATATATGAAAGTCAGTAAATGCAATATACCCTTAATAAAATAAAAGATAAAACTACAAGATTATTTTGAGCAATGTAGAAAAAAGCATTGAAAAAAATTCAAAACTCTTTCATGATAAACAGTAAAGAATGTGAAGATGGAGACGAGAGAGATTCAAAGATATTGAACTTGAAAATTAAAATGACTCATCCACAAGCCAAAGAATGCTACAGCCACCAGGCATTGGAAGAAACAAGGACAAGATTCTCCCCAAGACCTTCCAAAATGAATATGGTCATTACAACACCTTTGTTTCAGTCTAGTGATATTTATTTTGTACTTCCAACCATCAGAATTGTGAAAGAGTAATCTATTATACTCCTAGCTTGTCACGTACATGGGGTACTCTTAGAGATAAGACTGGCTCACTTACCTAGGGTTAGGATGATAGAAAAAATCTTGAACTGGTCTGCAGATAGATCTGTACAAATTACTGACTCTGTTTCCAGATGTTCCTGTGCTGTGCTAGAGATAACCTTGCAAGAAAGAGGGAAGAAAAAGTAAAAATGAAGCCAGTGGTCAGAACTCCAAGGAGCCCATCTGATTTTCACTGTGTTTAATGCCAGGGTCCATTTGGTTGCAGGTTAATCAGTCTTGGTAAGGTGGCAATAAGTTGACTAGGCCTCTCAGAATAAGAAACAAAATGTAGAAATATTTTTGTCCTACTTAAATATCCAGCAGAGTATATGGACTGCAGAAGAAACTGAATAAGCAACTGACATGATGACCATGCAGCCTTTTGGAGTCTGCCATGGAACAAGGATTCAAGGAGGCGTTGCTCTGAAAGCTACAAAGTATGATTAATATGAGCAAAGATGCTCATTTTCACTGTAGTTAAGAAAAGTTTTTATTATATAAAAGCATATAATTTCAAATCTAACACACTAGTATAAATTTTTAAAAACACGAACACTATATAATGCCAGAAAGGACTAGATTTAATGGGGACTTACGTACCAATGATTCCAAGCCTAAGCTATGGCGTAACACAAAAGTACAAGTGACTACATTTGTACCAATTCATTCTCAATATCTGTCTTCAGAGGAGGAGAATTCAGTTTCACACAGGTAGCGTGCCTCTTTAGCCAGGTTTTGGCTTATTAGAAAACGTGATAGCAACTACTTCCAAATCCAATCTAATTGTTTCAAACAAGATTCATAGGCACATTGTAGAAAAATGTAAGCATACTAGGCAAATTTACTATCTAGGTTGAAATAAAGTTTATTTTATGACTGAAACAATCTACTATTAGATGAATTCTTTCATAAAATAGGGGAAAACTCAAACTATTCAGGAATTAAAAATATAATCCGTATTTAAAAAATAGCCAGGTATCTCTAAATTTGCCAGCCTACCATCTTCTTTTTAACCTTACCAGAACATATTTCCTTATACACACACACATGCACACACACA